GTAACCGCTGCACCAATTTCTTCCAAACTTGGCACAGTTGTTGGTCCTGGTACAGCATACCAAATGGCCGAAAATTTTTAAAATCGGACAATAACCACGCCCACATCCCATATAACGGTAATTTCGAGAAATACAAAATCTTCGATAAATCAGTAAATATTGAAGCTAATTTATTCAAAATTGATGGTTGCAACAATTCTTTACCAAGAAATACGTTTATGACAAAATTTTGGAAAATGGGCGTAGCACCGCCCACTTGTGATCACATATATGTATCTCGCTAACCGTTCTAGGCAATTTGTACCAAGCTCGGTATGGTTATTGTGCTTGCCACATAAAAGCAAACCGTTGAAAATTATTGAAATCGGTCTAAAATTGAGGCCGCTTTTCATATAACGGTAAATTTCAGAAATGCTTGAAATTTCAATATTTTGAAATTTAAGGACGCTATCATGTAGCGGTAGCTTTCGGAAAGGTGGAAAACATATATTTAATACTTGCACCGGGTATTTAATGTTCGGCTCCGCCCGAACTTAGACTTTCTTACTTGTTTTATTTTATTCTTTTTATATACACATACGCAAATTGGGATCGGAATATTACCCGCAATTGGAGAATGAAAATTAGCTTTCTGACTTAATGATCTTTACCGATATGATGGAACATTTGCAAAACTTGAACTGGTCTCAATAAGGAGAGAATAAAAATCTTTTTGATTTGTCGCAATTGTTTTAAGTTTTGAAGCTAAACTACGTCTTTTTAATATTGCTCTCAAAAAAATAATATTTCATCATTTTCCATGGCTAGAAAAAATATTGTACATGATTTGAAAGCAGATTTTGAAAAAAAAAATTTGCCGTTTTGAAATTGTTGAATTTAAATGTTAACCTTTGCATACTTCATAAACCCTTTTCTATGTAACATAATTGAGGATGAATTTACAATACTCCCATTTAAGAAAGCGAAGAGTTGGAGTTTTCGGAATTAAAAGAAGATAAGGCACTGGAAATGCAACATAAAGCTTTGCTATTGCTTGAATTCCGGCAACAAGTACCAGATTTAAAATATCCGCTGTTGAAAACAGCTGCGTTCCGTATATTTTCAATTTTTGGTACAACGTATAACTGTGAGTCTTTGTACCCTACAATGAAATTAGTAAAATCGAAATACCGTTCACAATTAGTTGCATTCGCGTACCTGATAGTTATTGAAAATTATAAAAACTATCAGCTTTTTGCGTTCGCGTACGCAAAAAACTTGCAAAGTAGGGGAAATTGAGAGCGCAAAATGGCACTTGATTTTGAGAGAAAGGTGCTAGCAGAGCTGGGCGATAAGGATTACATGTGTAATCAATTGCATCTAGGATTACGATTACTTTAATCGCAATTTCAAAAATTTTTAAATTAGGATTGCGGTAATCGTTCATCGAAGGCATCTTAGATTACAATTACAGTAATCGTAATTTCAACTTTTTTAAAATTACAATGATTACAATAATTTTAAATTTAAAATTTTTCCAATTAGAACCTTTTGAGTAATCTTAAACGAAGTATTTTAATAACTTTGCGAAATATAAATGCGCGCTTATCTTAAAGGAAGTATTTTAATAAATTTGCGAAATATAAATGCGCGCTTATCGATAATATGAGGATAATATGTATGTATCTAAAAAAACAGACAAATAAAAGAAACCAATATTAAACTTAAAATAACAAGTAAAGTAGTTTGGGCGAAATAATAATTGTATAACAATGCAGGACTACAATTAAAGTAATCGTTCATCGAACGAACTTGGATTACGATTACAGTAATCGTAATGTTAACTTTTTTAAAATTACGATTACTGTAATCGTAATCTAAGTTCGTTCGATGAAGGATTACTGTAATCGTAATCTTGTTTTTTTAGCTTGTTGGGATTACTGCAATCCTAATCGTTTAGTAATCGTAATCCTTATCGCCCAGCTCTGGCTGCTAATTTCTGCTGGAAAAAATTTTTTGCCAACTGCAATTTGCCAACGAGAAAACAGCTAATCAAAAACAGCTGGTTGGTATTTACGCAAATCCCTAAATTGAATTTGAAGGTTTGGAAGTTAAAGTAGTAAAATGCGACTGATTAAACTTGTAGTAAGTAAGTAATTATTCGTTTAATCAGTGAACTGTGTCAGGATAAGACTTTGGGATTTGTTTTCTTACGTTTTCAATTTTATGCTTTTGCAAGTTTCTGAAAATTTTTTGTTCGCCTACTATTTTGGATATTTTTAAGAATAATTCAACATTGAAGCATGTCCCGCCCGTGACAGGGCTGATAAGCTTTATTTCTTTGTTACGGTGTACGCAGGGGAGGAGGGGGCGAAGCGCGGACTCGTCCATTACCTATGTATATACCCTTGTGGTCAGCTGATTAAGTTAAGTGACATTTTGACCAGTTTTGGTTTTTCCTTTTGTTTATTTAATGTTTATAGATTCTTTATAAAAGTCTAGCACATTACATAACCAGAACCACATAAATACACACTTTGTACGAAAATTATAAAATTACAACAAATTTTAACAATTACACCTAAAAATTTTAAACTTTTTGTGCACGATCTTTAGAAAAATTCTAGGTATGCAGTTTTATAGCCCATTAAATTTAAGTAGGTAAAAGTGAAAATTTAAGACGCTAGAAAATCGCGTTGATTTTAAATAAATTTTTTTGGCTGACGGTGCTGGCATTTTCTTCTATATAAAAGGCACTTTGCTAATATAAAAAGTGAGTGAATTGAACCCCTAATTGGCTTCTTATATTTTTTAATAACTAATCTTTAATATGGACCCCACTAAAAGCTCCTTTTCATATAAAAATTCCTACGTGTCCCACCCGTGACAAACGTTGTCCCACCCGTGACAGAGGAAGTTCGCATTTTTTTATAATAAAGAAATTATGCTTGTTGTAGTTTTTGCTTTGTTTGTATTCGTGGTTCTTTGTTTTATTATAAGACATCAAGTTCACACAGAAAAGTTAAATAAAGTCCCAGAGTTTCTGTAAAATATATCGGCTCCACAAAGCAGGTTCTTTTTTTGTCCCACCAGTGACAGAAGAAATAACTTAGCTTTTTTCCAAATAAAAGTAAGCTGAAATTTTTTTCATATTTTGTAATAACTCATATAATAGTCAATAAGGTGTAGCTTTATCCAAATGTATAATTTTTGAGTACTTTATACTTAAATTTAAACAAGAAAAAGCATTTTTTCCGTTCAAATGTCCCACCCGTGACTGTGGAATCGCCCAAATGTAGAATTTTTATAAAATGCTGCACGTTAGAGAAAAAGAAAAGTTTTTACAATTATATTTGGAAGCAGCCTTAACTGATATATTTTTTCTTCGGAGACAATAAAAGATGTGTTTCGCGACTTTGACTTTGCAATGATTGTCAGCTCAAATACTATGGTAGGCACATACTAGTTAATGAATTAGTATATTTTCTAACTGGCTTGGCTTATCACTGCAGGAAAATTGCTCTGCGCATATGTCCCATTGAGTCCAAACGCACACAATGTTGTTTCACACCCCCTCCAATATTGAACACTAAAATATATTTATTTTTACGCAAAGAAACAACGATGTTGTCGAAATATACTAGAATTGGCTAATACTCACTTCTCTGAAAGTCATGAGACCTTGAAATTTCAAAAAAAAACATTTTCGATGGGCACCTAATACTTATGTATATATTTATCTAGGTATTTAGATCTTACTTAAAAGTCGGTATGTACATACATACTTGTTTAATTAAACTTACAATTGTACTTCCTCACTCATGTACGTCACTTCATTGCTTGACTTCAAATTCGCTGTAAATTAAACAAAGCAAATCATGATTTTTATGCGATGGAATTTTCAACAGAAAGTAACGGTAGAAAAAAATTTTTGAGTATTCATTTTATTTTTCAGTTGACTACGATGAAGCATTCTACTTTGTATTCCCCGTAATGAATCAAATCAACGAAATTAATAAAGTATTGTAGAACATTAGAACATATATTGCCGGCAATGCCTAAAGTAACAAAAATTAGAAGACATTATAAGGCAATACGTTCAAGAACATGTTACCACTAAAAGCGATTACGTCTCGTAAACCTCAAATTTACGAGCCTCGTAAAGGAACTGTCAAAATTTGTATGGAGCTCTACTTACGAGCCCCTCGTAAATTTACGAGGCAAATTTCATACGCAAACGACCTCGTAAACTTCAGTGTTGTCGAGGGGCCGAAATTTTTGTACTAAAATGTATGATAAAATAATGAAAATAAATGAACAAAATAATACGCGAATATTGACTGGAGACCGACGCTCCAGCTCGGAAAGTATTCAACTCGGAACCCGCTGGTGGTAGCAGAGGAAGAGGGAGGCCCCCACTGCGATGGAAAGATCAGATGGCGTTTCCAATTGGCGTCAGTTGGCACAGAGGAGAAACGACTGGCGTGCTTTGCTGAACTCGGCCAAAATCGCGTAGGCGGTTACAGCGCCAAAAAAGAAGAACTGTATTGAATTAGGTTTTCTGCTAATTTTCGGCATTTTTAATTGTATTTTAGCCAAGAGTTATGAAAAATACTGCGAAACAAAAATTGCTTCACAAAATCCTGGTTGATCTGTCACTTTACGCACCTATTTACACCTTTTCGCAAAGGGGGCTTTCCCATAAAAGCCTCGTAAACTTGCGAGTATGTATGTATGTAGCCCGAACACAATCACCCCTATTCCAAATAAATTGCGAAAAACGAATTCGCCGGGAATTCATTTCCCCCCTGGAACGGAATATCGTATCATGAACTCCGGGCGAAAATTGTTTCACTTCGAAACATAGGTCATAATTCGAACATCAACAGCTCTTCTTACAAAAGCTGATTTTTGCCAACAGTACGCATAATTATACTTATAAATAAGTTTTGAGAGTTTTTATTAATATTGGAGTAATATTAAACAAAAATGTATCGCATAGCTTTACGCTCACTAATTGAAAAAAATAGAGAAGTGGAAAATGGTCAAATCGGAAGAATGATTCGCCGGAACTTAAGAGATCACTCTAATCTTCTGGATTTCCCAAATGAATTGTAAAATTTGCTAGTTTACTTATACAGGTATTTGTTAATCTAAAGATATTATTGTTTATAGGTTTGGCCAGCACTATAGGGTAAATAAATCCGTATTTAGATGAGGTAAAGTTGGCATTGCCAAAAGGCAGAAAAGCATTTGCTATCCCCATGCATATAAAACTTGCGGCGTTCTTGAGGTTTTTTGCTGAAGGAGGGTACCAAAAAGGAATTGCTCGAGATAGAGAAATTTCATTGGCACAGTCTTCTTTCAGCAAGGTGTTAGCAGAGGTATTGGACGCACTTCAACGTAAATTGTGTCCAAAATGGATAAAATGGCCTACACGTGAGGAGAGAAGAGATATTTCTCAACATTTTTATATGAAGTATAGGATACCCGGGGGACACATGTTGGCATTATTGCTCCAGAACAAAATAAGCATTTATATTGTAACCGAAAGGGATTTTACAGTTTAAACGTCATGATCGTAAGTTTTGATTTTGTTTTACTTACATACACGCATTTTAATCTTATTAATTTAAACTTTAATTTTAAGGTATGCGACGATGAAGAAAGAATACGGTGCGTAGATGCCAAGCATCCCGGATCATGTCAAGACTCGAGAATTTGGACAACAAGCCAATGTAGAGAGGTGTTGCAAAGAGAAATTTCTGGCAGTCATTCGAATATGTGGCTTTTAGGGGATGCTGGATATGCATTAGAGCCTTGGCTGATGACATCCTTCAGGAGCCCTCAACTGGGCTCTACTCAGCACAATTTTAACGATGTGCACGCGAAATCCGAAATATAGTGGAGAGGACCATCGGTGTACTTAAAAATCATTGGAGGTATTTGTTAGCAGCTAGACAACTTCACTATTGCCCAAAGAAATCAGTTAAAGTAACGAATGTTTGTTCAGCCCTACATAATATTTGCTTCGCATACAAAAGCATTTACGAGGCAACTTCCGTCGATGAACATACAACCAATGAGCAGCAAGGTGAAGAAGAACCTGCAGAAAATTTTGTACTTTAGGATGCTGCCCAACGCATCCGCTCAAATATTTGTAACAATTTATAAATTTAATTACGTACCATATCTCAGACCTCCTGCCTCAATTATTGCCGAAGTCAAATTTAGTTATGACCGGTCAAGCGGATTTTTAATGGTTTTTTTCTGACTGCATTACGCATTAAAAGTTTATTCGGCAAATTTTTTGTATGAAAAAATGCGAAATACACTCAGAAAATTCACGCGATTTTTTAGCAACTTAAAACTTGCACTTTGTTATACAAGAATTTAATGGGCTATTAAACTGTCTCGAAAAATTCTGAAAAATCTCAAAAAGTTGAAAGTTTAGATGCAACTTTGCAGATTTTTTTATAATTTTTGCACAGTGCTCAAAATGTCTATTTATATGGTGATTGTTATATAATGAGCTATATTTTTATGAAAAAATAATAAACATGAAATAAACCGAAGTAAAATAGCCAAAATTGATTAAAACGTTGCTGGCTTAATTAGCTAATCGCAAGTGTACGTATATGCAACATTTTTTATTTTATTTTTTTTTATAAAAATTTGGTTCATACTACAAGAAAGCACATACAAGTATGATTTCTAAACTTTGTGCAAAACTCAGGAAATTTCAATTTCTCATGAAAAATTTCAACCTTATGAGATTTTTTAGAAAATTCTAAATATGCAGTTTTATAGCCCATTCAATTGTAGTATATATGTATAATAAAGTGCAGGTTTGAAGTTGCTAAAAAACGCGTTGATTTTGGCAAACTTTTTTGCGGACGGTATTATTTTCTGCCATAAAAAAAATCGATTATACTTTGCATGGTTGCCAAAAAACAACGTGGGTTTTGGCAAGTTCAACCGTGCACTTTATTACACATATATATGTACAACAATTGAATGGGCTATAAAACTGCATACTTAGAATTTGTTTAAAAAGTCTGAATAGAAAGTTGAAAATTAGTATGCGAATTTATTTAATTTTCCCGAGTTTTCCACAAAGTTAAGAGATTTTATTTTTATGTTTTTTTTTGTAGTATAAACTGTATTTTTGTAAAAAATTAACAAAAAGAAATTAGATTACAAACTATGCATACATTGCAAAAAATTTTCTGTGCCAAAACTTTTGTCCGACACTGTAATTTGAATTTTGTATATTATTCGTGAACTTGTGTAATTTTTCATTAAAGCTTTATTAAAAAAATAAAATGTATACCATACAACAATAACGCAGATGTATAGTCGGTTTCAAATGTAAGTGTACACCTTGAAATTCACAATTATTTTCATGCAAAATTTTTTTCATTAATTATTTATGAAAATATACATAGTTCATTCTATAACAGAAATCATATAAATCAAAGTTTCAGACTTTATATAAAGTTCACAACAACTCAATCAATTTTAATAAATGTTTAAAAATCTTTATTCAGAATTTTTGGAAAATTTTCGAGTACGCAGTTTTGTAGACCGTTCAATTTGAGTAAAAGTGGAAGTGTAAGTCGCTAAAAATTACCGTTAATTTTTTAGATTTTTTTTTTTGAGGTGGGTGTTGCGGATTTTTTTCCGTATAAAAATAGATTTTGCTATGGAAGAAAACGCACAACAACCTCCTCAAAAAAAATCTAAAAAAATCAACAGTAATTTCTAGCGACTTATACCTGCACTTTGTTTTACTCAAATTGAAATACTTGCACTTTGTTTTACTCAAATTGAACGGGCTACACAACTGCGTACTCGAAAATTTTCTAGAAATCCTAAAGAAAGATTTTTAAATATTTATTAAAATTGTTTGAACTTTTGTGAACTTTATATAAAGTCTGAAACTTTGATTTATATGATTTCTGTTATAGAATGAACTATGTATATTTTCATAAATAATTAATGAAACAAATTTTTCATGAAGATAATTGTGAATTTCATATTACAATAAGGTGTACACTTACATTTGACACCGACGGTATACGCACATTATTATTTAGAATTTTTCCAATTTCATTTCTTCTATTTTTTCCATTGCGACATTATGTCGCTTCTGCTCTGCTAATGCTTGATGTTTTAAATCATTACTGGACTTTTTAATTTTCAATTCTTCCTTTTTCAAATCGTTTGCACGTTCAAGTGCATGATATATTCTCTTAAACATCATTAGTTCTTCTTTATTATGCTGCTTTATTTCAACAACAGCCTCTGAAATTGTAGCACACAATTTTTCTTGATTTTCCAGCTCTTTTTCGACTATTTAGGTTTTTTGCGTTTAGGGCAAGATGATGATAACTACGGTGACCATATTAACCAGCGTAAAATAAACGACATTTTTTTCAAAATGATTTGGGAATACGTACATACAACTTGTATGATAAGAGTACCTTGCCCATATCGTAATTTAAATCAAATATTTACCAGTTAATTATAATATTAAATTGTATAAGTTTACCTGCTGTAGCGAAAAATGAAGCCAAATCCTTTTCAAGGACTTCGCCATCCTTTGCTACCAAAATGCGTTTACCATAATTCATTCTGCACGACGAAGCCAACACACAGTAATTCAAAATTGGAATCAATGTTCATAATCCACTCCAGCCCTCATCTTTCATCCAATATTTGCTAAAAGCCAAAAAAAAAAATATTTTTTTTTAGTGAACATGTTTTTTTTAATTTTTTTGTGTATTTTTTGTTTTGGTAGAACCATAAAATTGTTTTCAACTAGTTTTTGTTATGTAACATTTATTAACTGGAACAGGAGAATACATTTTCTTCAAAATTGCTACTTTTTCTGCATTTTGCACTAAAAAATTTAATATAATCAAATTAAAATTCAGAAATCAGGCTCAACTGGTCTCTTGTAAATATTATAAGCTTTCATAAAAAAAATAAAAATTATTCAAATTAAGTGAAAAATGAAGTGAATTAGTGCCAGTTTTGAACCACTGTGCAGCAGGGGGTTTATTGTTCTCCTTCAGTAGAACTGACACACAACTTTCCCTGTGCTTTATATATTGTACAAAGATTACCGATTAAATAGAAACCCTTAAGTGGGGTGCGAAACAAACTGGCGAAAGTTTTCATTATATATTATAAGGGATATTTTTATTTTCCATATTCTGCGTTTAAAAATTCACCTCTGAAAAATGCAAAGCCGATTTAAAGGACAGTTTAAGAAATAAAGGACAAAAGGCGTCCTTTATTTTGAAAAAAAAAATATAAAGGACTGTCCTTTAAAATAAAGGACGGATGGTCACCGTAATGATAACGTACTTTCAACATCTACAGAGGCGGAACGTTCGTTTGCTTCTGCTGACGATGACTGAAAACTGTCATTTAAATTTTGAGTTTGGTTCACATTGAATTCACTGATTGAAAATCCGAAATCGGATCCATACTCAACGCCCTCGACCGTCTCATTTCCACCAATCAACTGAAAAATAGCTTCCTCAGTAGGAGACAAAGGCACTGTCTGGTTAGGTCCACCACCAGTGGCTCTACTTTGCTGGAGATTCTGTGCGCATATTTTCTAACGTAGCGCTTTTGTTCATTCCACACCTGATTTGATTTTGAAAAAGTTTGCATTAATTTAGAGCCAGTTTTCCAGTACACGGGTGTAGTTTAAACTTAGTTTAAAAGCTCGAGCTAGCTGGTTTAAACTAAAATTATCCAATCAAATGTCAGACAGCTTTAAAATATGAACGTAGTTTACGCGATCTAAGTTTAAACTGGCATTGAAAAACTGGCCCCTAGAAACGTATAACATTGTCTTGTTGTTTTACTATTTAGTGCATAATGGACTTTTTTCCAAAATGCAGCTACTCGATACTTGTTCTGCTTTGTGTAATTTCGCGCAATGTCGGGATTTGGAGTCATTTTGTTTAGTAGCAGCTCCGACTGCGTTTTGTTAACTGTTTTCGACCTTAAAATTTACATATTTAAATTAGAATCGTATTTATTTGTTTGAAATGCTTATATTTTACTTCCAATTTTCTTATTCCGCCTACAGGAAACAGGTGAGCAAGAAATGATGAAATGTCAAAAATTCCGCTAAAAAGTTTCTATTCACAATAAGGCGAAAAGTTTCGAACATGCGAAAAATGTGGGGCGAAAACTTTCACGATAGGTTAGAAGCGAAAAGTGAAATAATCCAGGAGAAATTTTTATTCAGAATAGGGGTGAATGAAAACGACGAGTTACGGACCACATCTGTCAAATTATTTTTCCACGTATTCTTATGTAGATAATAATTTTGGCGACGACAGGGCTACGCGACGACTGTAGTTGTAGCCAGATTAGATCTATTTCTATTTTTCCAGCGGCAGATAAGGTTCTTCCTCTTCTTTTATGTCAAACTCATACAAATTCAAGATGTCGCAGCGGCGTTCAAAAAAATTATGTTGCCTTCGGAAAAACGTTAAGATAATGGAGATAACAAATTGGAAGCTGTGGCCCGTAGCTCGTTGCTTTTAATGTATTCAGAACTTCACACTCATGTGCAGTATGTGGTTGACTCAATAAATTAACATATGTATACACGGTTGCCACTGTTGGTTGTTTCCAACCAAACTTGGCTGTTTTTCTTTTATATTTTTCGAATTTGGTTGTTTAGTAGTTTTTTCTCTGATCCGGCTCTTTTTTTTATACCCGAGCGCACTTGTGCACAAGGGTATATTAACTTTGTTCACATAACGGTTGTTTGTAACACCCAAAACGAATCGAGATAGATATAGACAAATGTATACATAAATGCTCAGAATGAATAGAGAAGTCGATTAAGCCATGTCTGTCCGTCCGTTCGTCCGGGTACACGATAACTCGAGCAAACATTGAGATATCTCAACGAAATTTGGTATGTGGGTTTCCATTTATCCAAGGTAGGTTGGGCGAAATCGGACTGTAACTACGCCCACTTCCCATATAACGGTAATTTTCAGAAATACGAAAACTGTGATATTTTAGTAATTACTGAAGATTATTCACTCAAAATTGATATTTACAATAAATTTTAGACGAAAAATAAGAATATTATAAATTTTTGGAAAACGGGCGTAGCCACGCCCACTTATGGTTACATGTGTATATCTTGATAACAGCTGGACCAATTTCTTGGCACAGTTGTTGACCTTGGTACAGCATACCAAATGGCCGAAAATTTTTAAAATCGGACAGTAACCACGCCCACATCCCATATAACGGTAATTTAGAGAAATACTACATCTTCGCTAAATCAGTA